GTCACGATTTTAAAATGAAAATTCGAAGCACATCCACCAGTCACTATCAGTTTACTTTAAGGCAAACTTCGAAAGAGGAAGCCATCGACAGCCTTGCCAGTGGGTTCTGAGTGCCCTCACCCTCACAGAGAGTGGATACTGAGGGCGCACTGCTTTTTAATTCGTTTTCGGAACCCAAGTAATCAAAAAAAAAGAAAAACGCTTTCATAAATAAAACATGGAGTTCCGTAACTGCCACGATTGTAATCATAAAAAATACAGTAGAACAAACATTTATTACAGAAATATTAGGCCAGAATAATTAAAAGATGTGTAACGAATAGTATCTAACAAAGTGGAACTTGTCCTGATACTACAAATGGGTTCCCCTCAAATGCCCTGTGACACCCGAACTTTTCACGGCAAGTTTCATACTAGCTTAAACAAAGAGTGAAAACGAATTTCGTAAAAAGTATTCATAAATATCCAGCAGTGCTAAAAAATTTTGATAAAAAGAAAAAACATTCGAGACTGAAGCGCACAGACAAAGACAGAAGGCAAATGGCGCTAGAAATTGACGAGATTTCGAAGGCGCCATAAAAAATATTATTTTGAAATATTCAAAAGATCGGAATGCACCCGGAAAACCAAAAAAACGGAAGAAAACAGGATATTTTTAGTCGAATTCCAATTAAAACAAAGAAGATTGCACGAGTCGTTACAGAAAGACGATAAGCAAAGTATGGACAGAAATTTGAATGAAACAAAAATATCCTTAAGCAAAACGTGAAAAAACGAATTCGAGCATCGTATAGCAGCGAACTGCACAGCGGTCAAGGCACTACATAATGTTGCATGGCGGTTGGTGATCTGAAAAAAACACGAACCAATAAGTAGATTGAGCGGTGAATGGCAGTGCTTTACAGCTGAATAGGATTCAAGGCAAATATCATGCGCGTGACGCTATTTACTTCGTTAAGCATGCAGTTGACTGATATTATTAATGCCAATTAATATTACACGTTTGATTCCCCCACATAATCCCACACAAAATTCGAATGGATTTTCCCGCCACATTGGCTGTTTTCCCTGGGTCCTTCGCACGTTGCGTGGGTGTCAATCAATAATCCGCTTTATCCATCTGTTGTCTCTCATTCTTACCAGATGAGCAGCTCAACTCTTTTTTTTGGCGCATGCTAATAAAAACCTGATAAAAGCCGTAGTATTTCACTGAAGATGTGCTGCAAATTGCTGATATCTACCGTGCGTCGTTTCGTGGGGTCGCTGGGTTATGAAGCTCGTAAAAATGCCTGATTTCATTTCCAGCTTGTTACGGCTCAGTATTGTGCTAAACACGAGTTGGAAAGTGGAATTATGAATATGAATTTACAATATCGTCTACGTGCTAATCCATCTCAATCAGTCCTAGCAACACAACCTGAGGACATTAAAAAGACATGTAAAATACTGACCGATAAACATCCCAGCACGCATACAATACATCCTACGCTTGCCTTTTTTGTCATGGACGAAACGCCTTTTGCAAATGGCACTGACCGGAAAGAAATCGAACCTCTCTTTTCCA